GTCCTGATGTCTGAGATAATGATATGTTGTAATTTATAATATAGTTTTAAAAAAGGGGCCGGACTTGCCCCGGTCACCACTACACATGTATTATACATGTGTAGGGGGGACCGGGGCAAACACGGCCCCTTTTCTTTTTTCAAGACGTTATGAAAGGCATGTACTATACTGTTGAAATGCATATTTATATATGTCATTTAGAAAAGAAATGTATTGTCTTTCATAAACTTATAATAACCAAATCGTAAACAAGACCATCTTTTGGGAATTATTGGACTTTTTAGGTCGAGAGAGTTGGGGTCCGGACGAGCCCCGCCCTGAGGTAAATCCGGCCCCTACCAGGGCAAGTATGGCATGAAGGATAGAGAAGACAATTTACTAATAAGTGTATGGAATTTCATTCAATTCTGTTGGAAAATAAGTCCAGAACAAATCAGTGAATACAAAGAAAAAAATACTTAATTTTTGCGACGAAAAAATATTATTTTTGTGGTCAATTGGGTGACGTTATCAATAGTGACGTCACTTGGCACAATAACAGTTGCATTCATGGTGGCCGACTGTGCCCCGGCAAAAGGGGCCGAACGTGACCCAAATTGATATTTTCAAGAAAACACACTGATTGTCTGTGTCCACTGTGCCATACTCGGAGTCGTTTGCGCCAGGCGTGAGTTTCTCAATTTACTCAATCGAGCATTTTAGTTCCGCCTGGAACTGTCCATTAATGCAATGGACATTTCTAAACTTCATACATTTTTGTACTAACTATTAACACTGTATCATATCTGAGGAATTACATATTTATACTATATATTCAAAACTTAAACTCCACTTTATAATATCAGCAAGAAAAAAATAATGTCATGAAAACCTATACTTGTCAAAATCATGTGCAAGCCCGGGCTTATTGGCTTACATGGTAGCTACGCGCCTGCAAGAGAGTAGACCCCCATAGAGCCTGTGCTTATGAAGCAAATGACAAAACCCGTTGCCCCGTGACGCTGTTTGAAAAAGATTGTTCCAAGTTGCACCCAAATTCCGATCCTGACCATTTCTACTTCCAGCCCCTATCCAAACCCAAGGGAGATATATGGTTTTCCCAAGTCCCCGTTGGACACAACAAGCTGACCAATATAATAAAAAGCATCACGAATCTTGCTGGATTCAAGGGTTTCTATACAAACCATTCCCTGCTAGCTACAACAGCTACGAGGTTGTTTCAGGGAAATGTGTCGGAACAACTGATTATGGAGCAAATCGGCCATCGCAGTACTGCTGTATACGGATACAAGCGCGCAGTGTTTCCCGCGTTATCCAATCGACATGTAAAACTCCGGAGGCCTCCCCCTCTATGGCTACCACTAGTGTTCCCAGTCCGTTTCCAATTCCCCCCGTATATAACTTCAATAACTCCAAAATTTATTTTCACATGTGAAAAATTGTGAAATTTTTTATCCTAATGCAATATAATACTGCGTACATATATTAAAAGCATTTGTTTAATGTCATGTGTACTGTGTTTTTTGTAACGACGATCTGTTGTCAAAACTATCCTGCAGGAACAAACCTGTATTGAATAAAAATTTGCACGTGCCCAGGTTGATATACCACAGGGAGGGTGGTATATGCAAATGAGGCAATATACCCTCCTGGGCACGTGCAATTTCGATTCAATAGCGGGTTCTTTACGTGGGTTACACAACGGGCTGAAACAAAAGAGCCGTGTTGTAATTACAGTTATCCATAATACCGATCCCCTACACGAGCTGCCGCCCCTTGCCACTCACTCGAAGTGCAAGGAACGACAACTCTGGACAAACATTTGCATTATGCATTCATCGAAACATGAAAAGTATGGTGTCTTGTAATTTTCAGACCAATAAAAAGATATTTACAGTTTTTATCTTACCTTGTTTGTACATAATTGATGAACAAGAACACCGTTTCTATAATTAAAATTAAAAATCTTCATCGATTTCCTGTCGACTTTGTGTTTTACTATCAAAAAAAATGTTATGTTTTCTTTTTAATTACTGCACTTCGTCTCGGTCAAAACACACACACACAAAATAACAATAGCAAAATGCACAACCTATTTTTTGTTACTAACGTAGTTCATCTTTGTTTTTGACACAAGTTCAACAAATGGATAATCTTTTCTGTAAACAAGTTTGTATTTTGAGCGTTCTGGTGGTGTCATGTCCCTCCGAGCCTTCAGTAGTTCGCCTCGACGTTTGCTCGCCGATGGTGGCAAGTCCAGCACCACACTATACCCAGAAACGGGAGCAAGGGTATAAGCTGCCTTCGTCACCTCATCCCTGTCCAGGAGACTACTAAGTCGGATGATGACGTTGTTTTTACTCTCACTGCCACCTGGGAGACGGTGCACTGCAGTAAAAAGCATGCACGCTGCTTTTTCCTCCAACATTTTTAGCTTTTGAATAAAAAAGTTCCGTACTTTAGTTTCAGTGACTCTGGGTTCCCCGAATAACCAAATTCCACTTCCGGGACCACATATCCAATGTTAGCCGTTCGTGCTCCTCCTCGGCTATCTTATCTGTATTTCTTTTCTAGATTTTGTAGAGTTGACTCATGTAATTCGCTCATGCGCTCATTTGTGTTATTTGCGAACTGTTCTAGATTGGGTACTTTATCCTTCAGGACATGCCGTATGTGCTAACGAATGTTATCTGTACGTGTAATTTAGCGAAGCAGTGGCAATATCACTGAAACCCATACATGTATACATGTCAGTAACAGACTGTACCATATCAGTAGTTTGATGTGAAACATCTGGATACACGCTGTCGATATATAAGTTTGAGAATGTACACTATGTACTCAGTGTTCGGACAGTATAGATTCACGCTGCACGCGCACCTGTACCTGTATGTCTATTTCCACGTGCACACCTGCGTATCGGGTGGGGTGTTTACGTAACAGGTGGAAAATACATCGACTGCAAAGGTCACTTTCAGCTCCTGTTTTTAAAGTTTTGACATTTAAGGTTGTGTCACTATACAAACAGGGATACGTATGCAAGGTTTTAGGTATTTTCGGACAGTGTTTAATGTGTTATCAACAAAAATACAAAGGAGACGTTACTCAACTTCTTCACTCCACGGCCATGACCCTTGACCTGTCCAAGGTAATAAATATCGACTCCAAAGTCAAATCTTGAGTTTGATTGTATTTCGTAAAAGTTGTATCGCCTTGTCGTTTAAGCTAGATTTGTAAGGGTAAAAGTTGTGTAATCGTCTAAGAGTTATTTCCCTTACATTATGTCTATGACTGTAACTTGTACTTTGTACGTGTTGCAGGGTTATTTTGGTTGAATAAACTGACAGTGAACAAAACTAAGAAGAGTTTTCCTAATCTTTCACAACGAAACCACCTCTACTACAATAGTTTCACTAATTGTGGCGACAACAAAAAAATCCCTACCAAAGGCAAACTGGACGGCATCATCCTTTGATTTGTTCATGGTTAAATAATTACAAAATGTGGTTTTCTTCATGCATGTGTTTGATAATAATAGGACACATTAAATATTTAACTATTTCAAACTCCATACGAGATCTTATGAAATCGTAACTGTTTTGAGATCTCTACTTGTGTGAGATCCTGCATGGATTTACTTTGCTCTAAAATATTTTCGGAATGTTTGAATGATTTTGTCTCACTGCAATATTTCCTATTCAGTAATTCTGTAAACCTATAGAGACGTAGATAAGTGAAGTGACAATGGATTCCTGGTTTGTTCATAAATATATGTCTAATATCATATCTAAATTTCTCATTAAACTACATTTGTACTTATTTCCTCTTAAATTTGTACACCTCGAGTGACGTAGACTCCTGGTTCGAAGTGACAACGAACTCCTGTTTGGTGGGATGGACTACTACACACCACGGATTATTGATAGTAGATAGCTTGGACACCAGTACCCTCCCACGTGACCCGTCAGCTGAAATAAGGTGAACATTTCCAGAATGACATCCACATACATATGCATTGTCATCCCGGTCCAGTCCAATACCTATAGGATTCCTCAGACCAGGTTCTCTGTACCTGTAGACTTCTACGTCACTGTCAAGTCGTCTACACACGACGTCATTGTTATCTCTGTGATACACGGTGGCACTAGAAGGAGATGTGGCGAGGTATGTGTGATCTCCACCTTTCGCTATTGACTTGGTCACCTTCCCATCTACTGTCTTAACTTTCACACTACCATACGTACCGACCAGGGTATTGTTCCCGAGAACTGCTATACCCCATGTTCCTCGTGAACATCTCATCTTGTTGATCAAGGTTAGCTGACCATTCCTTAGTTTACACTTCAGTATTTCGTTTTCGTTTTCAGCCACAAACACCTCATCATCGGCACGTCCACGTACTATATCTGTTGGATATCCGTCAATGTTAAATTCTCTTACGTAGGAATACGTGTCATCAAACAGTAGGAGTCTTTTGTTGATGTAATCTGTCATAAGTAATTCATTGTTGTCAGTAAATATACCTCCCGTCAACCAAGGTGTAGGTGACCCTCCTAGTGTACTTCCGTCTACTGTCTTTACACAAGATACCGATCCGGTCCATACCTCAACCGCTGCCTTTACTGGTGTTGTCGGGACGGTCAAATACTGCAGTGAACCCCTGAGGTCGGAGGTCGAAGTCGAGTCTTCTAATGTTGAAGCTGAAGGTGTCAAGAGCAAGGTCTCAATCATTGTGCCTATACATACATTCGCGTTCTGAGTTACATCTGATATTGTAGAGGCCACGTCAACATTCCCCAAAGTTGTCATTTTCATGATTTCGTCAATTATTGTTCCTAACGCGAATGTGATGTAAAATCTATTCGGTTGTTTGTTTGTGTTTTGATCCATACGACGGTAATGTCCTGATATTTGAATTTTTGTTTGTTCTCTAATGAAGAACTTGTGACGTTCTGATATCTGTTGTTCTAAATGGGACATCAATAGATGTGAATTTTCCGAATTGGTGTGGAATGTGTTGACACTCATCCGTCGAGCAGATATATTTTGCCTGGCCGCTTTGCACTTATCCGTGAGGTCCGACTGGAATGTTACGTTGAGGTTATCAAGCTTATCTTTAGCTTGCTCTATCCTGTTCGTCATTTTCGCCGACACTTCGTTTTCTTTGAAGGTAAGCAGGGTCATCCCCAAATCGTCATCGTCTAACATCTTCTTAGTTTCCTCGCTCAACTCCTTCAATTCTGTCTCCCTGGTGTGTTGTCCGGTCTTAGTCTTCCTGACCACATCCTCTATTGGTTTAACATTGTTACAGTGTCTGTGTGACACTGACACACAGACACTACAACACATAGCGCTATGGTCTACACAATAGACATCCAACAGCTTTCCATCGTGGCTGGGGCAGATTTCGTTGACCATAACATCGCAGATTCCGCCGACAAAAGAGGGAAAGGAGACAAGCCGATGGTTTGCCGTTGTTTTGTTCCGTTCATGATATATTCTGCATTGTTTACAGATCTTTTCACCACAGTCTGTACACCAGACCTCGGCTTGACTGGATTCTTTGCCTCGTTTACATGACGCACAGAGATGAACATCAGCCGCCTCTGCTGTGGTGTTAAGGTACAACGTATTTATAGGAAAACATTCCGCCCATGTACTTACATCTGTACTGAAGTCACTAGGAGCACTCGGTGCATCGCAGACCGGACACGGAAAGTAGTGCCGATCCTCGTCTGCTGTGACGTGTTCCGCGTCGATGTATGACGTCAGACATCGGTAGCAGAAGGTATGACCACAGGGCAGCTTCCTCGGATCTTTGTAAGGTGTCGTACAAATCAAGCATCTGTATTCTGGTATCGGAGCAGCTTCTGCCATGTCCGTAATGGATAGTGTTATGCTGGTTTCTCTGTAATATACAAAAGAAGTATTAGCTACATGTTTTCAATATATTTTCGCTATCATACATCGTGAGAT